TCCCCGCCTCCCGCCCGCACCGGCGCGCCAGGGGTGGACCCGGAGCCGCCACTCAGCGCCCGGCGCCACCTCCCGCCCCGCACCCTTCCTGCCCGGTCCCCGCCCGCACGGCGCGCGCCCGATGGAACGCAGCGGCGCCCCCTCTCCTGCCCGATCCCTGGGGACGCTGGAGGGGTCGCCCTGGCTACCAGCTCCTCCCCGATCCATCACTCCCCTCCGCGGGCGGGGAGGGCCCGGAAGATCCGACGTGAACCAGGCCAAGTCCCTGCCCGACGAATTCATTCATTCCTCGCCGGTGTGTGTGTTGGACACTGGGGACGCGGTGGCCAACAGGACCCCTCTGTGTTGCGGTGGGGACACCTACCCACGGCCTAGGGGAAGGTGACCTGGTCCAAGATCAGGTTGAGAAAGGGATGGGAAGTCAACTTGGAGTGGGTGCGGAGGCCAGGCCCCAGAGAGAGGGTGACCTCCAGCCCGGGCTTCCAGGCAAGGCAGGGGAATCCGCGCAGACCAGGCAGAAGGACCAGAGCTTCTAGAGACCAGTCTGGCAAGCCTGCTTTCCCAGAGGACCTGGTCTCTGTCCCCAGCGCCCAGGAAGCTGCAGTGCCGGCAGCTTAGGCCTGCCTGCCTTCTCTGTTGTCCGGCTGGCTTGGAGAGGCCAAGGGACCCTGAGCCTGCTGCACGGGGTCGGGCTCCACATGTAGATGCACAGAGGCAGGTGTGCTGGGAAGGAGTCCAAGGAGAGTCCAGCAGCGCCTGGCCTGCCCCCGTCCGAAATGTCACCGCGTCGTGATCTTTCCTGTCTTCTTAATTTTGCCTTTCTCCTTGGCTACTCTGGCCAACTCTGCCTGCTGAATTCATGGTGTTTTGCAGCCCCAACACCCGAGAGGCATAAGCCCTCTGGGGGCAGAAATAGGTCCTGAACCCAGAAGGGGCACCTGAGGGACAGGGACAACCTCTGTGAGCCAGATTTGGTGGCAGAGGCCTGGGACCCGAGCTACTCAGGAAGCTGAGGCAGGAGCATCTCTGGTTCAAGAGCAGCTTGAATAACATATGGGGGCAGGGTGAGCCCTCTCAGTGAAAGAGTGGAGGACAGAAGGAGGAAGAGGAGGAACAGGAGATGTGGAGAGACCAGAGCAGGATGAAGCTGGCCCTCCTGGGCCATCAGTTTCTTTTTCTTACCCTAGGGGGCACTGTTGCCTCCATTGGACTGGCCATGTCTCTGGGGTAATTTCTTGATTGTTGAGCGATGTGGGAGGGCCCAGCCTACTGTGGGTTGTGCTACCCCTGGGCAGGTGGGTCTGTGTTGTAAAAGAAAGCAGGCTGAGCAGGGGCCAGAGGAGCAAACCAGTAAGCAGCGTTCCTCCATGGCCTGTGCTTCAGCTCTTGCCTCCAGGATCCTTCCCTGAGCTCCTACCTTGGGCTTCCTCAGTGATGAACTGTAACCCAGGAGATGTAAACCAAATAAACCCTTTCCTCCTCAAGTTGGTATCGGTCAGAGTGTTTTGTCACATCAATTGAAAGCAATCTAGAACATTTTGGAAGGCAAAGAAATCCTGGCCAGGGCAATGGTGTCTCCTATATGTCTCTGACCTCTCTTCTTATGCTCTGACACATGCGCAGGCCTGCTCAGGTCCCAACTTGCTGGTGTGAGGGGCTCATTCTACAGAAGTAGGCAGGCACTGGCTCTGGAAGCTGGGGCAGGGCCTAGAGCTAGGGGAACCTACCTTAGACATGGAAGCAGCCTTGAGGGCCAATTCAGAATGGACACCAAGGAGAGGCCACAGAAAGAAGCTCAGAGCTGGCCAGCCTAGCCTCAGCATCCTGCCCAGGAAGAAACCATGGGACCAGGGACTTGTGGGCATCACAGAAACAGGGTTAGTAGTTAAAGTCTTATAGAGCTATAACCCATGTCTACCATCCCAGCACTCAGGAAGTGGAGGCAGGAGGAACAGAAGTTCAAAGCAACCCTGGCTACATAGTGAGTTCATGGCCACCCTGGGCTACATGAGGCCCTGTCTTAAAAAAATAAATAAAAAGCCCTACTTACCCATGAGTTGTGGAAGCTTAAGGTCCAAACAATGTATCTGGTTGGTAGTCTTCCTGTTGAGAGCTAGTCCCCAAGGATAGAGGACACCACATGGCAAGAGATGGGAGAGTATGTAGAGAAGAGAGAGGGAGAGGGAAGGAGGAGAGAGAAAGAAAGAGAGAGAGAGAACTCTTTTTGAGAGGAATTTTGACAGGAAAGGTGGTATACACCTATAATCTCAGCACCTGAGGCTGGAGACTAAGACCAGAATTAAGAGTTTGAGGCCCGCTTGGATACTTAAAGTGAGACCCTGTCGAGAGAGAGACAGAGACAGACAGAGGGAGGCAGTGCTGAGGAGATAGCTCAGTTGATAAAGTACTTGTCTCAAAGGCATTAAGACCTGAATTTGGTCCCCACAGCCCATGAAAAAGATCCAGCTGTGGGGCTGGAGAGATGCTCAGCCGTTAAGTGCAGTGGCTGCTCTTGCAGAGGACTCAGGTTTGGTTCCCAGCACTCACATGACAGCTACCAACCATCTCTAACTCCAGTTCCAAGGGATCTGGTTCCCTCTTCTGGCCTCCATACACATGCAGGCAAAACACTCATACACATTTTTTTTTTAAGATTGCTGTGGTCTCAGGAGATCATTCAGTGGGCAAAGTGCTCGGCAGATAAGTATAAAGACAAGAGTTCAGATCTCTAGCACCCACATAAATGTGAGACAGGTATAGCAGCCCACCTGAAGACCTAGTCCTTGGAGCTAGGGACAGATTCCTCCAGGCAAGCTGGCTAAATAGATTTACCTAATCAGTGAGCTCCAGGTTCAGTGAAAGACCTGCCTCAGTAAAATAAAGTTGAGCATGACGAAAGAAGACATCTGATATCAACCTCCGGCCTCTACATTCACACCCACACAGCGTGCCCATGTACACATGCACACGCACACATACACACAAAAGCCAGATGTACTAGTGTGCACATGTAAGCCCAGTACCAGGGAGACAGAGGCAGGCAGGTCCCTGGGGTTCTCTGGCCTAGCTGAATTAGTGAGTTCTAGGCCAGTGAGAGGCCCTGTCTCAAAAAACAAGTTGAGGGTGATTGAAGAACATTTGAGGTCTGTACATACACATGCATATGCATGTATGTGCCTGCACACACACGTGAACGCACATATCTTCACACACATTTTTTTAATTTTTAAAATTTTTATTTATTTTACAGTTCTGGTCCCAAATGTTTTGGATAAGGGACACTCAACCTATACTGCACAGGGACAGAGGAACCCTTTAGTTCCTCCATTCTTTTTTAAGGTACAGAAAGGCAACTTTTCCAGGAGTTTGACCCTGAGGGAGAACAGAGGGAGGAGGAGGAGGGTGGCATCTATGCTTTTTTTCAAATGTCTGACTGCTAATGGGAAAGTCCACAAAGGATGAAAGACTTGAGAGCAGAGGGATCTACAGAAGAGATGAAGGCAGATGGGCTCCTTCCACAGTTGCAATGCCCAATGGGGTGGCCATTAGCCACAAAAATTAATTAATTTTATTCATTTAGTCAGGGAGGACAGGAAGAGTGTCAACTAGACCTGGATGGGACTCATGTTGAGGACAGTGACAGCAGGAGCCTGATGGGCTGGGTGGGGGCGTGAGACTGAGGGTGGCAGAGACAAAGGCCAGGTCTGTGGCCTGGGCAGCTGGGAGGCTGGGGTCCCTGTTTGGGGTGGGCAGTGCAGAGGCATGAAGAGGTGGTGGTGTTGGGGAGGTGAAGGTTGAGACTGATGGACACAAACACAGTTACAAGGGACACAGGGTCAGAAGCTGGAGAACAGACAGGCGCAGGCTGCAGATCTAGGCTTGGGGACAATGTGGTGGAGCCTGAGACAGCGACAAGGCCACCCAGGGGAGTGAAGGCAGAGCAGGAGATGAGGTAGAGGGTAAGACAAGGGTGCAGACAGGCCCTGAGGCAAGAACTCCACCAGGAGAGTGAGGTGTCCAAGATGTGACCGGGGAGAGGTAATCAGGAAGGAGGGAGAAGTCCAGGAGCCAGGGTGGAGAACGGGGAGTCACCGGGATGGACAAAGGCATCTCCAACTCCCGGTGTGCACACATATTGAAGGTGTTGGGTCTGGTTTGGTCCTGGCCTGATTGTCACAGCCAAGCAGCCTCTGCCCGCATCGTTGGAAATGCCTCAGTCCTATCTCTGGGATGGAGGACAGTAGCTCACTGACTCTGAGAGCCCTGGCTGCTCTCCCACAGGGGAGGTTCAGTTCTGTGTACCACTGAAGGATGAAGCTGGGGTGCTACAACAAAATTCCCAGGGGAAAAGAAACTTTCGGGGTGCTGTGTGGACGGCAACGGGTAGGGTAAGCATCTGTGGGAAGCAGAAGTGGAACTTGAAGAGAAATTGACTGGGAGGGGTGTGTTAAGGGCTGCCTCCCAGGTGAGAGAGGCGGTCAGGGACCACCCTGCTGCATTTTTTATATTGGGGCCGTCTGAGGGGAGTAAGTTTGAAGAAGAAAGTCATGAGTGTAAAGTAAGCACTGGATCTAACACAGGCAAGTGGGGGCTGGAGAGGTGGCTCGGCAGTTAAGAGCACTGACTGCTCTTGCAGAGGACCTGGGATCGATTCCCAGCACCCACATGGTGGCTACGAACCGTCCTTAACTCCAGTTCCAGAGGATCCTACACCTTCTTCTG